AACATGTGTGATGATGTGATGTCATAAATTTTACTTTACTTTACTTTACTTTACTTTACTTTACTTTACTTTACTTTACTTTACTTTACTTTACTTTACTTTACTTTACTTTACTTTACTTTACTTTACTTTACTTTACTTTACTTTACTTTACTTTACTTTACTTTACTTTGCTTTGCTTTACTTTACTTTACTTTACTTTACTTTACTTTACTTTACTTTACTTTACTTTACTTTACTTTACTTTACTTTACTTTACTTTACTTTACTTTACTTTACTTTACTTTACTTCACTTTACTTTACTTTACTTTACTTTACTTTACTTTACTTTACTTTACTTTACTTTACTTTACTTTACTTTACTTTACTTTACTTTACTTTACTTATCCTTCACAACCCCATTAAGTAAAAATGATTGTGCCATATCATTGAAATAAAGCTGCGCATTGGTTTTGCTCTAATGCTCTATCCAGAGCCCTTGCGCTTGCAGTAGCACACTCCCGCAGTGGCGCGAAAGCACATGTTTAAGGTGAACGTTGGTTGGTTGTCTCAGTAAGGTGAATAATTTAAGCTTGAAGTCAAAGGTGCGCTTTGCATTTACAAAAAATCACGCGCGGCGCGGTAACATGATCATAGGGACCTTGCTCTAACTAGAGCCCTTTCGCTTGCAGAAGCGCGCGACCGCCGCACCGAAGGCAGCAAAGGAAAATATTCTACTTGTGGAACAAGTGCGTCACGCAGTACGCGTCTACACATTGCTTTGTGAAATATTTACCTGGGGACCCCAGTAGTTGCTCTAACTAGAGCCCTCTCGCTTGCAGTAGCGCGCGACCGCCGGAGGCGGCAAATATATATTCAACTTGTGAAACAAGCGCGTCACGCAGTACGCGTATACACATGGCTATGTGAACCCCAGTACAGGCTATTATGTTCATTAACATATGCAGAATGACAGGCTGAGCGCGGCCCAGTAATGAAATATAAGGACCTTCACATAGCCATGTGTCTACGCGTACTGCGTGACGCGCTTGTTTCGGCGCTTGCTTCGGCGGTCGCGCGCTACTGCAAGCGAGAGGGCTCTGGTTAGAGCAAATAAAGACCCGTGATCGCCAAAGTTAATGTACAATACTTAATGTTTTAAGAAAAACATACGCCTTAATAGCTTTGTCAGTGAGTGACTTGACAATTGTTAATGGTTTGCTCCGGCGCGCGTTACTTCGTAAAAGAAAGCGGCGCGCGCTACTTCGAATAAATTTAGACAAGTGACATCCGTCAATGAGTGCCTAATTGAGTTAATTTTTTGTGACTTGCTATTATCACTCATTCGATTCAACTAACCATGTGCTTTTGCCCCACTGCGGGCGCGCTTGTTTTACAAGCCGGGAGGCGGGCGCGCGCCACTACAAGCTCAAGGGCTTTGGTGTTTGGGTAAAGCAACTCATTTCACATTTGAGAAATACATTGCATCAAGTAGAAAATATTCGACGAAATGATCCTAGGGAGACTCCCAACCCACCGTTTCGGCAGGTAGTTGATGCACTGTTCACAACCAAGAGCCACTTTGGTCTACTTGCTGTGCATGAGGTGTCTCAGATACACAGTCATTTGAACCCAAAATAATTTAAATTTTTATCATTAAATACAGATTAAATTATTTGCAAATAAACTCAAGTTAGTTTGTAATGCAGCTAACCATAGAAGTGTATCTGATGATATTTTAAAACTCGATATTTGGGAGAGAATTTGGCACTTAAACTTCAATCCTGCCAAGTGTAAAGTAGTTCATATTAATCTGAATAATAATCCTAACTTTAATTATATTGTAAATGGAGTAGGACTAGAAGTATTTGCACAGGAAAAATATCCGGCGGTTATTACCCATAGCTCCTTGCTTTGGTATGGACAAATAAAAGCATGTATTTCTAAAGCAAATCGTATGATCTGCTGGATTGTAAGGAACTTAGTTAATAGAAGGTTGTAATGATAGCTATTTATAAAGCTTTAATAAGACCTCATCTTGAGTATTGTGTCCAATTTTGGAATGCAGTTGCGGCTCATGGAAGTTGGGGGACTGTTTTGGAGCTGGAGAACGCCCAGAGGCGGTTTACCCGTCTTATTGATGAGGTGGGTACTCTTCCATACAGCCGTAGACTGGATATCCTCAATTTGACAACGCTGGCAGAGCAGTGAATACGTGGGGACCTTATTGAAGCTTTTAAAGTAACTAGTGGTTTGACTGAATATGGATCGGGTTTGTTCAGAATGAGCAGATCTGGTCTTAATCTTGTTTCAACCAATAGATGTAGTAAGTCAAGGCTGGTCGGTCGGAGGTCGGTCGGTGAACGCCGGTCGGAGGTTCAGAATAAAACAAATATTTCAGAATAAAACAAAGATTATATTCAAATCTCTTTATTCAACAATATTAAATCATTATGGAACCTAATTTGTGGCTTGATCGTTATGTTAGGGCTATTCTGTTAGCTGATGCTGACAGGCACCGCATGGGGCAGAGACTTAGGACCATTACGCTGGAGGCTTACAATGACCATTATTGAACCCCATGGCAGTGCTAGTTTTATTATGGTACAAATTGTAAATCGAAGTTATGAAAACGATTAAGTCACTCCTGTTTTACACTATCAACAGCTACTTAAAACAACCTAGATTGTACAACTCACTTTGAAGATTAAACTGTTAAGTGATGAGTGATTGGGCTCATTAAACATTTTAGTAGCGGAGACATGCGTATCAGCTTCTTGAGGTTCTAATAGTTCATTCAGACAAGAAGTTTTACTTTTTCAAATTTAGTCGTTCAAGCTGCCTGAGTTCAGAAAGTTTGCCAAAGGGGCCCAGGTATTCTTGTCACCTTTACCCTGAGACAAGAGAATGACTTTTTTTACCTTTGATTTGAATACACCATGAGTGATTTCAAGGTCGTTCAGTGCCAACATCTGACGGAATGAATTCCAAAGGCAACTAGATTTGTAAACGAAACTGTTTGAGGGCATGGTTGTTATAAGAAGAGTTTCTTTGCCGGGTCTTTTAGACAAACAGAAAAGTTCAAATAGTGCAATTGTTGTTCGATATTTAAAGACTTTTGGTCAGAGGTCAATCGGTCGGAGGTCGGTCGGGCCCCGGTCGGAGGTGGTAGCATATACCCCCGACTGACCTCCAACCGGCACCCAACCGACCTCTGATCGACCTCCGACCAACCTCCAATCGACATCTGACCGACCTCCAACCGACCTCCGACCAACCTCTGATCGACCTTTGACCGACCAGCGCCCGATCGACCTCCGACCAACCTCCAACCAACCTCCGACCAACCTCCGACCAACCTCCGACCAACCTCCGACCAACCTCCGACCAACCTCCGACCAACCTCCGACCAACCTCCGACCAACCTCCGACCAACCTCCGACTGACCGGCGTTCACCTCCCGCTGCCCGGCGCCCAACCGACCGACCTCCGACCGACCTCCGACCGACCAGCCTTGTCTGTTCTATGACCGAACAAACTCCCTCCAGATTTCAAGAACTGCTCGACAGTTTTAAGCTATAAAGTTAGATTGGAAGGATTTAAGAAAGAAATGATTTCTAAAAACAGTGTAAATGATTAATTCATTTTTGGAACGTTTCTTACTTACTTACTTACTTACTTACTTACTTACTTACTTACTTACTTACTTACTTACTTACTTACTTACTTACTTACTTACTTACTTACTTACTTACTTACTTACTTACTTACTTACTTACTTACTTACTTACTTACTTACTTACTTACTTACTTACTTACTTACTTACTTACTTACAGTGAAAAACCGAATGAAATGCCATCAAATATGGAAAGGCGCATTGCCAGAGAGCTTAATGATATAAAGAAGGAGGAAAATGAATTTTATCATGTCGAAGACTCAACTATATCTACTAATGAAGATAACAAATGCTCATGGGAGGTTGTATTTAGTCCTCCGGAGGGTTCTCCATACTTTCGAGGAAAATTTCGTCTCTTTATTGAATTCCCCCAGGATTATCCCTTCAAACCACCGAGAGGGTATTTCAAAACCAGGATCTATCATTATTTGGTAGGATTTGACAAGGCAGACAATTCTTGGAAGTTTTGTGACGATCGTTTATTCAGAAGATCTGACTGGTCTCCGGCCATATGGATGAAGACACTGTTTAATGATACCTTTCTAAAGTTCTTTACTGACCTCTCATACGGTATTGATCGTCCATACTACGCAGAACTTGCTTTACTGTGCAAAGAAAATAAAGAATTGTATGTCAAAAATGCTCAAGAGGAGACTGCTATTTATGCATCTTCAGCTTAATAAGAAGTCTCCCTTGACTCTAGAAGCTAAATTTAAAAGCTGAGAAATAAAATCGATTTAATCATATCAAAGTTTATCATGTATTGTTGAGAACAAAGTGCAGCCACCTGAAGTTTACTTTTTACTTTTACTTTAGGTGGCTGCATTTTGTTCCATTAGATTTTTGTACCAACATTTTGTATTGTTATCATGTATTGAAGGATTTCCATTATTTTGTCAAATTGATTTATTGTAAACTTGTTTATTCTGTAATAAATGGCATAAAATTGAAATTTCTGTTTAACAGAAAATTCTGTGTCTATTCATCATTGAATGTAAATACTGTAATGTTAAATCTATGTTGTATAATCTCTGTTTTAGAGGTAGTTTTAGTATGTTTGTAAGTTCAGTATTGATTGGTTTAAAGAAATTCTAGAGTTTTATTTTAAGTATTAAACAAAATTTAAGTAGAACAAAATTTAAGTAAAACAAAATTTAAGTAAAACAAAATTTAAATTTTATTGCCATTATAATGAATAATGATATCATAATTATTAATAAATATAAGTAGACATTCGATAATAAACTTGTTGGGTCCAGTACAACCCAAGATGCTGCCCGACTAACAAAATAGAAATATTGGAGAGCAAATTGATGTGTATTTAGAGATTGTTATTTGTTATTAAATAATTTGTCAATTTAAAATTTAATGAAAATAGTATATTATTACAAAATAAATAAATAAATTCTAACATTTATTACACGCTTCGACATTAAAATATACCCAACAAAGATGTACATTTAAGTCATTCAAGCGAGACTTAGTGTTGAAATACCAAGATTATGGACTTTTTATCAGATCAGATTTTATGAACAAATATTTGTATGAAGTTCTCAAAATTATGCACTTTCATATCAGTTCAGACTTTATGGACAAATATTAGAAATATTATCAAAAGCTAGGTGGAAATAAAACGTCTTTAGCGCATTTTTAAAACATTCTACAGATGATAATGATCTCACTGAGTAGGGTAGTTCATTCCAAATTTTTGGTCCACAAAACATAAATGCAGCATCCGTTCGTCTGAAATGAGGAGCAGGAGGAACTTTCAACAAATAAAAGTCATCATCTAGTCTGGAACTTTGTCTTTGTACTTCTCTTGGATTGATGTGTCCTTGTAAGTACTGAGGGGCTATGTTATTAAGAAACTTGAAGACCAGAAGTGATATTTTGAACTTGATTCTGAACCGAACAGGTAGAAAGTGGAGCTTTTTGAGGTAAGGCATGATAGGTTCACGTATCTTTTTTCCATAAAGACCAAAGATAAATCTAGCAGCATTGTTCTGTATCTTTTGTAGCTTATGGAGATTACATATAACAATGGTGGTCAGATTTTATGTGTAATTGATTTTGACACAACATGAACACCATAACTGACTCTCCCAGGATGAGGAACCTAGCATGTCAATGGCAGAAAGTAGTAAAAAGTGGGACCCAGCTTGACTACCTGTCAATTGACCAGGATTCCAACTTTGTGTATGGCTGCTTCAACAACGTTATCCTCAAAATTGACTACAATCAGCAGCAGGTACATACTTTAATACTTGCGATAAAAATGTTTTACATCTTTTGCACGGAAACCTGACTAAAAATATTTGTGTGATTTTTCTGCTTTTCTTATTTTTCTTACTGTAGTACGTGCTTTTTAAGTGCGGGCCATAAAATTTATCGGTTTAGCTTTATCACTCGTCATATAATGATATTGATATACATTTATCTGCACGTCTTGAATAGTTTCAATTAGGATATTAGATGTAGCCTAGCATATTATTATATTGAATGATATTATATTATAATGTATACTAGTATTACATTATAACAAACTAATGTAACATGTAATCGTGTCTTGCCAGGACAATCACTCCATAAAGCATTAACAACGCAACACACCGCGAGATTGTAAACAAGTTAAATATACTCTGACGTGGCCATGGAATGTACTCTGGGTACATTTTACTGAGCCATTCCACTTCCTATTCTTTACATTACCATGTAGTATAGCTCGGGAAAATGATGTTGTATCGGCTTACACGATGACCTTCAGATATCTTGTCGTTGAATTATGCACATTCACATACTCTAGGTAAAGATTGATATTGATGAACATAACGATTGGATCGTTTTGTAAATTATCCGAACCATTCTAAAAATTGTAACAATTTTCACTACTGAACAGTTTTGTTTTCGATAAGATAGTATAATATAAATATGATTACAGATCATAGGAATCACACATATTTGGACACTAGCCAAGCAAGACATAGCTAGAAGAAATAATTAACATCCAACATAATATATCTAATCCAACATAATATTATGTATCTAATCCCAACTCCCAGACGTAGCTTATAGTGCAATGTTCCCCCTATATTCTGCAATTTACCCTCTATATTGTGCAATGTACCCCCTATATTCTGCAATGTACCCTCTATATTGTGCAATGTACCCCCTATATTCTGCAATGTACCCTCTATATTCTGCAATGTACCCCCTATATTCTGCAATGTACCCCCTATATTCTGCAATGTACCCCCTATATTCTGCAATGTACCCCCTATATTCTGCAATGTACCCTCTATATTCTGCAATGTACCCCCTATATTCTGCAATGTACCCCCTATATTCTGCAATGTACCCCCTATATTCTGCAATGTACCCCCTATATTCTGCAATGTACCCCCTATATTCTGCAATGTACCCCCTATATTCTGCAATGTACCCCCTATATTCTGCAATGTACCCCCTATATTCTGCAATGTACCCCCTATATTCTGCAATGTACCCCCTATATTCTGCAATCTACCCCCTATATTCTGCAATGTACCCCCTATATTCTGCAATGTACCCCCTATATTCTGCAATGTACCCCCTATATTCTGCAGGTTCTCCTGGAACACAGTCTACCAGATGAAGATATGAGGTTGTCTGACATTCACTGGTTACCCTCCCACCACGCCCTCTTTGTAGTGATCAACGTGTCAACTCTCGCTCTCTTCTACCCAGAAACTCAGCTTTTAGAAGAGGTCAGTATTTTGGAGCTTGTTTTATTTTCAGTTAAATAGTTATTTGTAAGGGGGAAATGATTCTGTTTGAGCTACGACTTTTTAAATGTTTGAGCCCGAATCCTGAAATAACTGATAGTTTAGAACATTTTTTGAGTCAGTAAGTTTATTAGTTGATGATCTGAATAGTTAATTAGTTAATTATCTAATTAACGATGATCAGATGGTGGTAATAGAGGATGGAGTAGCCTGTGCTGAGTGGTCTCCAGATGACGGAGTTTGCGTTGTAGTGTCCGGAGCTGGTAAACTTATCCTCATGTCTGAGGAATTCGATTATATTAAAGATACAGATGCTAGACCTCAGGAATTTGGTACCGAGCACCAAACACAGGTACTAGAGTTTTCAGAGTTTTTTTTCTATGAATTAACTTTATGAAATAAGTTATAATATCAATTACAAAAATTAACCTAGAATTAACTAAGAATTTCAATTAATTAACTTGGTGTTACCAGGTAGGGTGGGGGAGTAAAGAAACACAGTTCCACGGCACCGCTGGTAAAGGAGCATCCCAGCAGCCAGTATTCGCTACACCCACCCCCGTAGCAACAACAGATTCAAGAGAAACTAGAGTCAGTTGGAGAGGTGATGGACAGTACTTTGTTGTCTCTACTGTTGATGAGAGGGACAGTGATTCCTGCAGGTGAGAATGTTACTGTTCCTGCTAATAAATTCTAATGAAGTTAAGATACTATTCTTATTATTGTTTAAGTTGTAGTTTGTACAGAGCAAGATAGTTTTATATTACTATTGTTCAAAGTTCAATTATTTTAAAAACTTTACATTACATAGATAAGAATGTTGGTAAATATGCGGATTGCCGGTGTTTTTGTGTTTAATGAACAAAGTAACATTGTTAAAATAGTTCCTAACAATTCCTTGATTGAGCAGAGTTATAAGAATGTGGACGAGGGAGGGAGTTCACACGGCCACTAACGAGCCTGTCCCCGGTCTTGAGGATACTATCTCTTGGAGACCTAGTGGCAACCTGATATCAACCACTGTTAACCACAACAACCAACATCAGGTACTGTTAGGCTGAGGATGTTCTTAGTGAGTTGTTTACCGACCAACTAGGCCCTATAATAGTGCACACTCTTTTTTATCGTACCAACAAACCAATAAACTGTACTTTGCTTTGGGCTAATATAAAATTGTTAAAATATTTAAAACTGTGTTCATGTTGTACGATCAACTCCCATCATTAAGATGAAGAGCTATCTTTGAAGAGCCACTTTTTCAATAGATGAAAATATTAACAGACCCGATGTCAGGTGATATTCATGGAACGCTCCTTATTTGGGCATCACGTGTATTAACAGACCCGATGTCAGGTGATATTCATGGAACGTAACGGGCTGAGACACGGTGAGTTCCCCTTGACCCTGCGCCAAGAGAACACGTGTGTCAGTGGCACCCTGTGGAACTGCAGCAGTAATATCCTAGCTGTTATCTACGAGGGACAGGACCAGTGTCACGTGGTCCTGTACACGTGCTCTAACTATTCTTGGCAGGTCAGTTGCCGGGCGCTTTAAAAGAGTTTGTTTGTGACCCTGGTCATTAGAAACACCCCTAAAAGTTCGTTTTTCAAAATGTAAAATGACTCGTTAGCCTCAATTTGCCCTCGACTAAATGCTTCAAAAATTTTATTAATCAAAACTCAATTAGTTGAACTATAATAGACATGTGAAATATTATATGCCTATCTTAAAAGTTCTTGCTGTGACAATCTTCTAAAGTTAAATTGGGAAAAACGTGGTCCATCTCGTGCGAACTTTCCTAATGACCAGGGTCTTGTACGTGATTAAGGATAAATTAATTTATTATTATTACGTTTATTTACGTGATAATAGTAAATTACGTGATTAAGTATATATTTTGTAATTTGTTATGATCTTCTTCTTTTCTGAATCACCCAATAAAATGCATTTTAAGCTGACGTCAAAACACAGCTCCCATAAAAGTTATAAGTTTTCTGGGTTCAGATTATAAAATATCATTCCTGCAGTTGAAGCAGCACTACGCTTACGATACAGGTACCATAACATTCCTGTGGGACCCTGAGGATGAGCACAAATTCCACGTTGCTGTGGACTCTAGGTAGCTTTTAAACAGATAATAATATTTGTATCATTACATCGCATGTTTTACTTGCATGTATGCATGTTTTACTTGCATGTTTACTTGCATGGCCATGGGCATGGTTTACTTGTATCATTTTTGAGGATCCATTTTACCATGTCATATAAAAATTGCATGTTATCGGCTAAGCATGAACTACATTCAAATAAGATGTGGTTGAGGGGGATCACTTAACATTTAACATGTGACTGTATCTCAGGTACATCTGCTATCAGCTGACGTGTAGAATTATAACTTGTTCATCTACAACTACCATGGTCATTGACGATAAGAAGGTTTGTTGATGTGTTCTGTAATCTGTTGTTCTGATAGAATTTTAAAATGTCTTAAAATCTATAACAGAATTTCCAAACCAAGCTAGTCTTACCTTTTCTCATTAGTCTGTACATCAGTTTGTACATGATTAATTTGTAAATTCATTTGTACATTCATTTGTACATTCATTTGTACATTCATTTGTACATTCGCTTGGTAACGAACATCCTGCTGTGTTTAGGTAAACACGACACCAATGTCAACAATGTGCATTCCTCCGCCAATGTCCTACTCACAACTGGTGACGAACAGCACGTGCAACACTATTGGTTGTCATGGAGATGACGCCTGGCTACTGTGCAGTGACAAGTATGCAAGTTTTTTATTTCTCCTTTTAAAGTTGCTTTTAGTAACATAATCATCAAACCTGGTCCACCTAAAATTTCCAATTCCCTAGTCCCCCTACCATACCACACAACTGCCGTTCCCTGAGAAATTTTGAGATATTGGTACCAACATTTTCAGGAGAAGATTCTCTACAACTTAAGCTATGAATCAAGTTATGAAAATACTGTTTTAGCTGTCACGAAGGCAGTAAGTCACACAAAACGTCAATATTAAGCTCGTTATCCCAAAACCTTCCCTGAGAAAAGGCATTAAGTCCATTTGTACAGCCTTCTCTGAGGGAATTTTTCTGTTCCCTGAGATTCCCTGAGAAAAGGCATTAAGTCCAGACTTTATTTGCAGTTTTTTATAGTTTTTGTCCTATAACTTTCACAGTTTTAGTTATAATCGAAACAATTTTTATGTGGTCGTAATCAGCTCAGCAAGCAAAACATTTTGGTACTAATACTTCAAAATTTAAAGAAATATTATTTTCAAAATTTTTAAACCTGAACACAAGGGTCCCCCTTGTGTGAATTATTGAAACATTTTTGAAAAATTTGGTGCTTTAAATATTGTATGTTCATATATTTTTACCCGACCTAATGCGTCTGACTGAGCTGAATACGATGCTGTACAAATTATTCCAAAATATTTAATATTTAAGAAGTTTTGAGCGAAAAATTATCCATTTTTCGTCAATATTACATACTTGCAATGCACAGGAGGCCCACATAATTATATTGCAAAGATATGATCAAAAATATAGAAATGTTTTTTTTTCTCTGTTGACTTTATCTGAGGAAAAATGGACTTACTGCCTTTCTAGAGAGGAATCGGTTGAAATCGATTCTGATAAAAGGCAGTAAGTCCACAATTCCCTCAGAAAAGGCATTAAGTCCAATGCGGATGGGAAAATAGTTAAGTTATTCTGGAGAAAAATGGTTTTTATAGATCAGTGTTGTATTGGTGAATTTATGCTTTTAAGCATGTTTAGGACATAATATGACAATAATTTATTTACGCATAAATGTCAAAATTAACCCCTTTTATGCGAGTAAAATTACCCAAAATACGACGAACACGTTTGTCCCATTTTCTCAAAACGACATCGATGTGACTTGATCACTTGATGCCTTTTCTCAGGGAACGGCAGACAATGTGGCCACAAGCACATGATTATTTCACCCTAAGGTTCACGCAGAGGCCAGATCCCACCCCACCTAGACCCCACGTATAGCGCCATGGCCCATGATGCTAATAAGTCCCATGAATGGTTATCCAAACAAGTTCACATTTCTGTAATTATTACAGTAGATTTAAAGGATAGGAAAACGTTCACTAACCTGGCTAAGGAACTGTTGTTAGCTTGAGTTAGTTTGAGTAATCCTCTTCTTTTACACAGCTCCAAAGTGATCGTCCTAAAGAAAACTTGTGTGAAAATAAAATTATGCGGGAACATTTTATCTTGGAAAACACATGTACACATCGCTGGTGTGATAACTGATACACTACTTAATTTATAGTCTACACATGTTGTTGAAAAGATGAGTCTTCATGATCCCAGTTCTCTATCAAAATTTAAGGCATCCAAAACTTACAAAATCTGGATGGGTGATTCTGCTGTAACTCGGGAACTTCTAAGTTATGAATTATTTTTTAAATTTAATTAGTTATTTTCATCTCAAAAGCTCACATCGGGAATGTGCAACAACGAAAAAACCGATTCGGGCAGACAAACATTACGCTTTAAAGCCAGGTACTATTATAACAGCAAGATAAACACAACAAAAATAAAGATAACATTGGTACAAAGTTGTTATCGCCCTAAAACCTGATCCTGTCGATAGCTCTTCATACTTTTATATCTCCACTCTTCAGACACAGCCACGTTGTTCTTGTCAAATCTTCGTCCTCTTGCTCAACTAAACTGTACTGTCGTTTCTTCCCTCTGTTTCTTCCCTCTGTTTCTTCCCTCTGTTTCTTCCCTCTGTTTCTTCCCTCTGTTTCTTCCCTCTGTTTCTTCCCTCTGTTTCTTCCCTCTGTTTCTTCCCTCTGTTTCTTCCCTCTGTTTCTTCCCTCTGTTTCTTCCCTCTGTTTGACTGTTTCGTCACCTCTCCAATACTTGCTATCATCTGTTGGGCATTATACACAACGCCCAGTATCGAGTATCTTCTGTCTTTCTGGAGTCTGGTGTTTAAACATTATTTACCTGTTATCATAGAGTTTAGTGCTTATTATACGATGAGTGGGTTAGATATTTTATCTTTACAGTAGAATGCACGAGATGTTGCTTATTATATAATTTGCCATTTTTTACTTAAATTGTTATTTTAGTATAAAGATTTACACGGAAAGAGTAATGGAATGAAAAAAATTAAGAAGAGTTATTTTTGAGATACAGAGCAACAAATCGATATAATATTAATAAAGAATTTAGCATATAGACCGACGACCTATCATTTGTTGGCATTAAAATTATTTCACCCAACCTTATAAAACTTTTAACAAGCAAGGTAAAATTGTGAAAGAAGAAGTAGTTTTTGTTTTTTGTTTTATTAAAAAATAGTTGTTTTATTAATGTTCATTCAACAACAAAAAAGTGAATAATAGGAGGCCGGGGATTTACAACCCGGAAACCAAGAGAAGAAGAGAGCATTTCAGTAAAATAAAAAGTTTTCATTGGTTAAGATTTCTTATGTTTTTTAAAACCCGCTCTGCTCCATCTAATAAAAAACTGCCTTTTTTTCCATCAACGATAGTGAAAAATTACCTTCGAGAAACTCACATTATCAAGTGAACAAATAGCAAATTCTAATTTACAAAATCTTAGTAGTACTGAAAATTAACAAATTAAGAAACTTTATTGGTTCAAGGCTCAGTTGTTAAACCACAGTCACAGTCTTTTAGCTTGTTATAATATTATATTGTACCATGTTCATTAACTCCGGGTAACGGCAGCACGCACGTGGGCTATCTCTCTAGCTCTGATAATATTGTCCTTCCTGTTCATCGACCAATATTATGAAGCTCTATATCTTCAACACGATTTCTCATTTGAAACAAATGAACATATTTCATGAAAGTGAGTCCTATGGTTTTATACAGTTCGCTGTAAAATATGGGGTTAAGAAGACTGTTGGCTGGTATCACGATCAGTGCAAATATTTCAAATATTTTAGCTGGCGGGGGATACTTGAGAACCCATGTGAACACAATAACAGCGACCATGAACGACACCCAACTCAGTATCTGGGAGATTATCATGAGAGAAACTTTAACAGCTAGCTGTGAAGTGTTGTCGTTTGCTGCTCGACCAACCTCCTGTTGGCTTTTCTTGGCTCTTTGCAGGATGGTGATATATGCTGCTGACATGGCGATCAGCAATATTGATATTACTATGCAGTACGATATCTTGTACACCTGGTAGCTCTGTTGCATCTTGAAGATGTTTGAGATGCAGAGTGGAGTGTTCCCGTAGTAGCATATGTCTGAGACTTCGAAAATGCCATCGTCAGAGGTGATGTTGGCATGTTTGAGGTCAGCAAGCATTCTAAGTACGTCTATTGATGATGAGCTGTTGTGAAAATAATGACTGTGAATGTTTTTAACTTGTTCTATCATGGCGGACCCTTCCCTTGCTGTTATAAAAGGATTCCTTTCTACAGCTGTCAGGTATATGCTTGTTCGAAAAAAACTCTGGATCTCATTAACTGGCAATGTGGGTAGAACAGCATGAAACAGATTCAAGAGAGAAACAATGAATGTCATTATTATGACCGTTTTTATTGAAAGGTCTATGGCGTTACCCATGGTACATTTTACACACCTCAATATGCTCACAATGGCTATAACGAGCAGCGATCCATGAGAGGACACTGAAAATGTGATCCCAAGCAACTCACAAGGCAAGCTAGAACGCCACTCTTCATCAAACTCACAGTAATCGCCCTTCAACCGTAACCCAATTGCTGCAACTATCAAACTGATCATATAAATGCCCATGAGAAAGTCATAAAAGCATATCTGAAGCCGTAAAATCCTATCAATTTCAGCTGCCTTTGAACTTGACTCCGTATTAAATGTTTTCAGACCAACAGAAATGTTTATCACGATGATACCAAGTCCTACTACAATGGCAAAAGCTGCCACAATTTTGGAGTTGACAAGGAATTCAGAGGATGCTAAACCTTCAATTACGCAGCCGGAGCACTCGTCTATTCCATTTTTACAGTCTTTTCTTTGATCACACACGCGACCCTCGTCAATCCAAGAGAGGGTTTCTTCATCATCTGAGCAGTAGAATCTATCTGGACACCCCACCTCGTCAGCATTGTTTGTACACTGTACTTTACCGTCACAGATATCAACTAAATAGTATGATTCAGCTGAATCGTCCGTATTATTTCTTTCGCAGAAGAATAAGACTTCATTGTAGTAACGTTTATTTACAAGCCTGATATGCGGGCAAAAATGTTTCCAATTTGTCAGCTCGGTGGTATTAGTGCACAGAGTTTGACAAATTTGGGCAGCCGATGGACCCGAGTAAGAAAAGGAAACTTCCGTCAAGTCACCTAAATAGCTCATCAACGGATACCTCTCATCAATCTCTAGCTGGTCTAGCACTGCCGTGCAATTAATATTGGTAGGATAATTTGTGCAGGCCTAACCCTTGCATTTGGTTTTGATGGTTGCAGTATGTTGTTAGAGGAATGCAGATCCGTTCAAGTTGTGGTATGCCGTGACACTGCAATATTAAAGAATCCTGACAGAGACACTCGTCACTGTGATCCGCACAGTCAGCTACTCCGTCACAGACATTTTCAAAGGAAATACAAGCTTGTCCCCCATGTTTACCTGGACAGTACATGACCTGGTCCTGATATCCTGGACCCTTGTTCGCACAACCGCACTCGTCTGTCGAGCAGGAACTGGCGGAATCGCACAGATCAGTCTTCTTTATCTCGCACTGATAGCGATCTCCCTCTGCTATCGTTAGGTCTGTCAGAGTATGCCTTCCTTCACAGCACCAGTACAGATACATTCCTAAGTAATCAATGTTCATGGGGCAAGTATGGAACTCATCGTCCTTGCTTGGAGGGCGGTTCCCTCCCGATATGTCCCTGAAGTGGAACTGACTTTCTGTTGTGTTGAAGTACATGAAGCTTGGTCCTGTCGCTATTTGATGACAGAGACCTATAAACTCTCCGGTAGACAGAAAAAAGCCACCCATGGTGAACGTTGGTTGAAGTTGAACCGATACTAAATTTATAGACTCTTTCTTCTCTTCCTTCTCTTCCTTCTCTTCCTTCTCTTCCTTCTCTTCCTTCTCTTCCTTCTCTTCCTTCTCTTCCTTCTCTTCCTTCTCTTCCTCATCCTTGTTTCCTTCATTTTCCCGTGGAGAGTTGTCTTTGCCCTCCAAGTTAGTTGATTTGGACTGGCTCAGGATCATGAGAGATAGCACAATCACATGGTTAATATGATGTATCATGATAGTGTCGTCGTGCCTATTAGAAGGTTCATTGTTATCAAAGCCCAAAAAACAGTCCTGGTAAACTTAGTGAGGCGAACAGCAACAACAAAATCACCCCTTAAAGTATTGAAGTAATGCCTATTTTCATGATTTTATCAAAACAATCAAAGTTTGCAAGGAAGTATAGAAATATGAATGTGTTGTTCAAAATCTCGATGGTGTGATTTAGTCGAGGGTTCTAGGGGTCTAGTGGTCTAGAGGTCTAGGGGTCTAGGGGTCTAGGGGTTCTAGGGGTCTAGGGGTCTAGGGTTCTACGGGACTAGGGGTCCAGGGGTCCAGGGCCGGGGTCCAGTGGTCTAGGGCCGGGGTGTAGGGGTGTAGGGGTTTAGGAGTCTAGGGGTGTAGGGGTTAAAGGAGAAACCATACCAATAAGTTGGGCGATATTGATGATGCTATCGCAAATCCAATTCTTAAATAGTCATGCTTCCTTGCGTCACGTTATTGCACTTCACCACTTAAATCAATATTGATGATATCTAGAGAAGTAAAGCTATTTGAGGTAAAGCTATTTTTGACCTTTTTATCGCTATGAGGTGGTGCGTCAAAGCAAAAACCTTTCAGCAGCGACCATTCAAATCCTAGAACCACTGTCACGTGTCAACAAGAATTGCTTCTTCCCCAATAAAATAAGTTCAAACCAAATCTATGAACGTTTGATATTTATGATGTTTATGGTTCTTTTATTCGTACTTTATCATTTTCTTTATTCATATTTATCATTTTAGATATTTTATACTATCATTTATGATTTAGAGGACATTATATTAGGAAAAATATTTTGCTGATAAGACATGGGCTTGTTTACTTTTATTTAACTACGGCTCAAACAGAGCACTATCGACTCTGCCCTGCTCATTAATCGTTAATCACCAAGTACCAACGCAAGTAGCTTATATTTATAAGAAACTTAACAAAACTTGCTGAGGACATAAGCGCAAATGTAATGGATCAGTCGGCCTAGAAATAGTGCGTGTGATCATCTGTCGTATCAAATCAAATTATTTTTTACTTTGTTTTTAATTAATCATAATATTATGCAAGTTTTAATTTTTTTGAATAAATAATAAAGGTTACACCATCTTTTTCAATTCTCATTTTCACTTATATTAAATAAAATTATATTGCTATGATACATAATTATGTATCATAATTCATATGTTTTTGTAAACATTTGCCGGTGTATCAAAAACCGGTCCCCAAACAATTTTCAAATTTTCGGCAAATTAAAAAGTTAAAGACTTTAAAGTTAAAGACTCTGAAGACGTTAAAGACCTAAAGTAAGTACCTTTAAGAGGTTCAATTGTTGTTAAAGTCAGTAAATTAAAAAGTTATCAGAACAATAGCCTGCAAAGTTTCTTGGTAAATACTTTTTTTCTCAACAATTGATCTCTTACTACTGTATGGATCACGGATGTGATCCATTTTATAAATTCCGTGCCAGGATAAATATAAGATTTTTGTCATCGCCGTTCGCCAAGTTTTTGAAATTTTGCCACTGAAACATGATAAGAATGATACGAATTTGTGGACAATTTCAGTTTTCACTATTGACAGATTGCGATAATAGTAAAAATGGCGAAACCCTTTCAACGAGATTCTAGTAAAACCATCGCCCCCCGGTCTAACATTGCACGCCACTTTAAATGATCATCTCGAAGTCACCTAATCCCTTCTTTAATCTATATCAGGACGATACAGCGTTTCAACAAGATACTATCGTATTAACGAGATACTATCCCAGGACTATACAGCGTTTCAACAAGATACTATCGTATTAACGAGATACTATCGTATTAACGAGATACTATCCCAGGACGATACAGCGTTTCAACAACGTCTCCCACTCCCCTCCTGGCGAGATCCTCCCTGACGAGACCTTCACTCTAGAGCGGGAGTTCCCTCTTGACTCCTACACCTGCATCAGGCATCTCACCATGGTTACACAGACCAAAGCGTATTGTGTCGCCCTGGTCAACGATGTAGATGCTCTACTTACAGTAAGTTTGGGGGTGATGTAAAAGAATTTGATTGGTTACGCGAGTTTTAAAAGGTGTCAGTTCAGGGCTGTCTCTCTTTGTGTGTAATGTGGAGTATTTTATTTGTTATGATGGGATTATTAGACAGATTCTATGGCAATTTGAGATCCTTAAACTGTCAATGATGTCATCATATCGTATTGAAGAACTTAAGGTCTTACGACTGCGCGTGTTAGAAATCGACTGCTAAGCTTGTAAAGAGAAACATTTTAACAAAAAATTTTTAGAATTTGTCCTCGCTTCACCCCATTAAAAGATACATTAAATAACTAGTAGCTCCTACCATTACAGCTGGAGCTCTCGGACAAGGAGATATTTGTAGTGTCGTGTATGACGCTTGAAGATACTGCAGTGAACATGATGAGGCACCCTGTGTCCGGTACTATTGCAGTACAGCTGTATTCAGGGGAGTTGTTTGAGCTACATGACGGCATGTTGCAACCGTGGGGCAGTGTTAGTATGAAGGTGAGTTGCAATGACGAACAGACAGATAAACTTACTGACGGACAAGTAAACTGACTGACAAACAGGCAAACTTTAAATACTTAATTTAGAACTCATCTGACTCATTTTTTGATTAGAAAAACAATTGATTTTGTGTCATATCTGATCTTACCTGTACTGTAATAAAAAATGCACCTGAATATTTTGGCTACCGTCTGTTGGTACATCTCGTGGTTCTCAAATGTACAGTAATTCACATGGTGTTAATTTGGAACTTTCATAGCTGGCTACGTGCCAGCAGAGGAAATACCTTGTCTGATTCTGAGGAAATTTAATTTCTCACGGTCTCATATTACCAGAATTGTTTGCAAATGAGTAAATATTGTAGTATTTCACTGTTAGCATAATATATATTTCTGGTTATCAGTATCCATCCTAATTGGTTAATCGTGCTAATTTACTAATTAGTTAATCGCCCTAATTGAATACTGAATAATGACCCTAATTGATTAATGACCCTTCAGGAGTGTGTCAGGTTCTGTGAGATGGAACTGGCGGTATTTGGAGAGGAGACAGTGGTTGTTGGCAGAACCTCCTTCAATCACCTCTACATGGACACCAGACTGTGGAACTACGATTGTACCTCACTCTCTCTTCACAAGTGAGTCACGTGCGCTACTAATTGGTTAATCAGTTAGTTATCTTGTCTACGTCAATATTTGCCAATTCCCTGTCTCTAATATCTATACTAATGTGGTGGATAAGGAGGCAATTTTCTTTGAAACACAGCCAAAATTCATAGCACAGATGGTGTAGTAATGATACGTCGTAGTGAAGATGTTTTTGATAGAACGCATTCTCTACCCTTCCTACCAATATAAAGAATGTTTTTGCTCTGCAATAGTCACGACATCCTCAAAGTGTTTCTACGAGAATCATCTCCATACGTACCATCTCCTAAAATCCCTATACTACGCTTAAAGTAGAGATGGTATTTGTGGAGAACCTTATTTAACTGCCTCGCTCAATCGACATCCAATTATTATTTCCCATTTATTAACCCTTATTAACAACAACAACAACCTTAGATTTATCATGTGATCTTGAGCCGCGTATCTGTAAACTGCGAAAGCACCTAAAAGATAAGTTGTATCACCAATTTATAAGCAGACCTGAACTCGAGGATCATATTACATGTTCCTGGAGAAGGGCTCCGTAATTTGGTACACTAAATAAGAGGTAACCTGTAAATAACATGTAACCTACAAATACACAGTATGGTCACTGTGCCTTTAGGAACACCTGCCAATAAAATTATAACGCTAGCTATTGTTTTTATTTGGAGGATACTAGAACTAAGAATTCTAAGAACTAAGAATTCTAAGAAAACTCGTATATTAGTCACTTATCTTAGTGACCCTTATTTTATCAAACCGTTATAGTGCCATTTAGAAAATAAGTTTGTGGCGTGCGTCATATAATTTTATATATAATACATTAGAAACGATCGATTGAGGTAGCACATAATGAATTTCGAATTTCGATTTCGAGTTTCCAACTTTGACGGTACCGTTATCCGGCTGATACATAACCTTGTTATGTAAAACAAAAGTCAAAACTGGAAAATGTTTCCGGTCGGAGGTAACTAAATACAGTGAAGGACACTCCCACATAATAGGATGCTATCTCAGAGTAAGATGCTAAAGAATCTAATTTACCTGCATCATTCATACACAGCACACATGATGAAATCTCTGTGTGGAGGAGTTATTCTGTAATTGGGTTCTTTATGATGTACCGCAATAGTTATTACGGTGTTATTCTTCTTTATAATTATACGAATTCTCATTATACGAATTCTCGTTCGACGCAAAGGGATGAAAAATGTGAGATAAGAATGTTAGAATAATTGGTATTGAAACTGTCTCTAGAGTTGTAATACGACTGTTATCATTATTATCTATAACCCTTTAACGTCTCCCGCGCCGGGTAGGTATTCATAATTAAATCATGTATTTGAAAACTTTATCGATAACTATTTTTTTCATATTATCTGGTGTTTGATCTTTGCATGATATTAATATGTATAAGTCATATATACCATTTTCTGGCGTATTGACGATATATTTGCAAGCATATGTTACTTTTCTTAACTTAGTATTCATGTTTTTTTCTGGAATGACTAGTTTTAACACTGCTGAGTATAAGTTTTATATTAAAGTTAAAAGCGGTGTTATTAAATTTCAATTTATTATTATTATTATGTACAATAATACTTACAATATGTTGCATATATAATTTACATAATGTTAACTGTGCGTCTTGCCAATGAACCACAGGTAATGGATTAACTCTGCTCTCATTAAACTAGCACTAAAGAATCCCGGATCAATCAGGAAGAGACACACTAATTTTTAGTTACTCGTTATTACATTCTATACATTCTATACTGCTATTGTTATTTAAGAGATTAGGAATGTAAAAAACTAACTGTTCCACTAACCACACATAATTCATTAATTGATAAATCATTAGTAAATAACCGTAATAAATACTAAGATGATCATAAGAAATATATGAAAATCTTTGATATTATCTCGATTCTACGTCCTGATTCATAATCGTTAAAAGGAGGGATAGTATTAGTATGACTAGTAAGTACTGTAATTCGACTGCTCGTTATAAATTAATCTCAAAGTAACATCTTAGTAACGTATTAGTAACGTATAATTAGTAACGTATTAGTAACGTATTAGTAACGTATTAGTAACGTCTTAGATACCTCTTAGTAACGTATTAGTAACGTATTAGTAACGTATTAGTAACGTATTAGTAACGTATTAGTAACGTATTAGTAACCTCATAATAACCTCTTAGTAACATCTTACTATATATAAAGCGAGACGATATATATATATATATATATATATTTATCTGTGCCATTTTACTGACACCACGGCATCAACTTTAACGCGAATTTCTGCAAAAACCGTCAAAGATATACAACTGAAACTTTTTTGACTGGGTCAAATGCTTTAATGGCCTCCAAATCAGCATGAAAAAATAAAAAATTGGCCAAGAAATAGGAGTTTTAGAGCCCAAAATTTGGTACCCCAAGTGGTGTCAAAAACGCGAATTAAATAGGTAATAATTGTTTTAGTCTCTTGAGTCTTGACACCATTTTAGGGTTAGACGGGTTCCTGCTAGTCTTAGTAACGTATTAGTAACGTATAATTAGTAACCTCTTAGTAACGTATTAGTAACCTCTTAGTAACCTCTTAGTAACATCTTAGTAACGCCTCCTCCGCAGGACGCACCTCCTCCTGACCTCTCACTCCCACACTCTGATGTGTGTTGCTCTCAACCAGCCTGCTCACGTTGCTAGAACTACTGAGGGTGTCGTGGATACCGGGGTAATTGAACATATTTGGTGCACGAGCACTCAAGCAGGCTCTTAGTTGAGTAGTTGTTCTAGATCAATATTCAATATGGGTAACTATTGGGCGTGCTATATCTGAATGTTTAGCCCTTAAACTATTTATCAGTTACACTTTTAACTTCTATTATGTTTATCATATTGACGGTACCATTATGTTTATCATATTGACGGTATCCTGTTCAGATCAGAACACTGGAGAGAGGATCCCGTCTGGTGGTATCTGATCCTACCTCATCACGTATCATCCTACAAATGCCACGTGGTAATCTAGAGCTCATACACCCCCGACCTCTGCTCCTCACCTACCTGGCTCAACTTATTGATACCTTGCAGGTTAGAACCAGCTGAATATTGTTTATAATAATCAAAATAGATTACTAAAATGTGCAGGACAATGGTGTTAAATGTTAATCCAGCATCTCAATTCTAGCAATCAACAATGTCAAGTTGTATAAGAAAGTCCTTAATGCTACTATGAGTATGTGCTAATTGGTAATAACAAACTCACGACCTACTAATTAACTAATGCTCTAATGACCTACTAATTAATTAATGCTCTAATGACCTACTAATTAATTAACTCACGACCTACTAATTGCAGTACAAGAAGGTATTCGAAGGAGTCAGGAAACACAGGGTGAACATGAACTTCATTTTTGATTACCACCCTGAGCAGTTCCTCACAAAGCTGCCAGGTTATTTATAATTCACAATTAATAATTTCAATAAACGATAATTAAAAAGTTATCTTGAGTAATAATTCCTTACCGTGTCAATACTCGCGGATTTCTCAACGACGTTAATCATGAGATTTAAAAAAGCTAACTTGAAACTCCTGTAGAAATCCTATCTCAAGTGACAAGCCAATTTTTGGAGCTGTTCGTAGCGGAGCTCTCCTCTGATGATACAACTCTCACTATGTACAGGTATGCAAACACCAGGATATGTTTTATAAGGTATGCAAACACAAGGATATATTTTATCAGGTATTTACTTTGATATTTTCTCTCAATAGAATATGGTTTAAAATTGAAGGATGTGAATGCTTTACATTAACAAAAATTGGAACAATGATATGTTAGATAAGATAAAACAGAGACATAACCGAGAAGATGCAAATGGTAAATTCCAATTGAAGAAGTGATCTCTATGCCTTCATAAAGTTTATTGTTAAGTTGTTAGGAGACTTAACTTCGCCCCAAAACATTTTTAAATGTTTTTTTTTAAATACTTCACGACCCTGGTGCATGACCATTAAGCTAAAATCCACTCGTTATTTACCATGGCTATATTGGTTAACAAAAGGCAAAAACAGTGATAACCCCGCCCCTCCATACATCCCTGTCCCGCATCAGGGTTCACAGTTCCTCTTTAGAATTTGTCCCAACTTCCTTCAGTAACATGGACAAGTAGCTTTGTCTTGGTCTGCCTTGCCCTTGCTGTGCTCTACCATGCATAGGTTCCATATAAAGACTAAATCACTGGCAAGTAGCTCAGGATGTCTGATGCAATGTCCCGCCATTTTTAGTCTCCTGCTTCGTAACTTGTTTGACAGCCTTTGTCAATTGACATGCCGAATCATATTGTTTAAATAAAGGGTGATCCAAAAAGAATGTTGGAATTTTAAGAAATGATGTACGTGCCTGCCCACTGCCGTGCCTGCCCAGTGCCTGCCCAGTGCCAACCGTCTGGTTATTACATTATAACACGTGACTTTGCTAGGCTTCACTGATTGTGTCACGTGACCTTGCCAGGCTTCTTCTGTTGTTTACAGGCTTCTTTTTCCGCAACGTTCTCAGGTAGTCTGACAGGTGTGAATTGTGGGAGGGTTAATTCAGTCAGTTAGTTTGTGGTGTAAATAAACAAAACATTTCTATTTGAGACCACAGTTAAAACGTGCAAAAATTACATAATTACATAGGTAATTAGATAATTACATAATAACAAATAAGCTACAATTTATTTTAATCCGATAACCTAAAATCTTAAAATGGCTTTGTTTTTAATCCTGGCTTATCATGGTGCACACACTGTGTGCAGCACACAGTGAACAGTCTTCACTTTCACTTTCACTTTCAGTTTCATGGGTACCAAGTCGACAGCCCCACCAGATAAAGTTAACACAGTTTGTAAAGCTGTGGTGGAGAGTGTCTCTGAGAATGTTATACCCTGGCTTAATACCCTTATCTCTTGTTATGTCAAGATAGATGATATCTCTACTGGTAATTAGAAGTTTTTTATCTTGCAGTTTTTTAGGTTCAACTATCGAAAATATGCATGTTTAACAATTTCAACTTAATTAACTAAGTAATGAAATGAGGAAAAACCTACTAACCTACTTTACTCGTAAATTATAAACATTATAACGTTTTGTACCCAGGTCTACAGAAGCTGAAGTCTCTCTACACCACAAACCCTGTCGAAACGGAGGCTACCATAAAATACATGCTTATCTTGACAGGTTTGTTGAAACTTGAATATATATTAATTAAATCATGTAACATTTCTTATCTGAAAGAAGTTTAAATGTTAACTCTATGGGCACTTTCAAAAACATCTGTCACGGAAAAAATGTTAAAATTTGTCAAAAATCAGTTTTTGTGGCATAATTTGGTGGATAATTTTTGGAACGGGATGAAACTCCAGGATATGGTGTGCTATACCCTAACCTTTACTATCTGCCACTTTTTGTTTCGATTTAGGGCTAAATCTGGTGGATAAAAGTAAAACAGACCAATCCACTTCAGGTGGCCTTTAAAAATATTTAATTCCATCTAAACTCCTAAAATATGATTGAGACTTATAAATAATCGTTATAACTTCACAATTTCATATGTAGGGCCGGGATTTTTCTTAAGGGCCAAATTTGGTGGATATATTTTTTTACCTCTTTTTTAAGACTGTTATTTGTTAGCTAACATCAATTTACTGGTCTTAAAATGGTGCAAAGGCAATGTTAAATGAATGGCACCAACTTAGAGTTCGAGATTTAAGTTTAAAGGCTATTTTTGGTGGATATAAGTCAATATTAATTAATTAAACACGTAAATGCTACCAAAATATCAATAAATAAGACATCATCATGATTAGAAACAGTTGATAAAGATAAAATATATGATGTTGAACATTAATGTAAAAGGTAGTATGGTATTTTAAGCTTTTAGGGCCAATTTGGTGGATAAATAACTCAAAAATACTTAAAATATCGACCTGGATATTTTGATATCCATCAATTTTGGCCTTAAAAGTCGGCTTGAGCTTATCACATTTTGTGCTGAACAAGAAAAAGGTCTAAACAAACCAATATCAGTGTATGATTTCATAATTGAGCAAATCTAAGGCCAGAAATAGTGGATAAAAAAGCAAATTTAACCGTCTTTAAGCTAATTTCTTAGGCATTTATCCACCAAAAACGGCCCTAAATGGAGAATGTTTGGAACGTTTACTTGAAACTATAGCCCTTCTTTACGACCTCAGAGCAATGATTTTCAGCTCTTTCGACCTTAAGATATAATTATTGGGCTTTGAAAGTGGATCACATACGTTATCAGTAAAGAAATCGTTATTTCAATCGCTGAGGTAGGTTATTTACATTTAATATCCACCAATTTTAACCTTAAAAGTCGTCTTGGACTGAGAATTCTTTTGAACTGACTCAGCAAAGGGGATCTTCTATCTAGAAACAGTTGTAGTTTCATGATAGAACACATCTTGGGCCAAAAAAAGTGGATGAAAAATCAAATTTTCCCGTTTGTGTGCTTTTATCCACCAAAAACGGCTCTAAAGGCTGAAAGGAGACATTTTGTTAAGTTCGTATGAAACTATATCCATTCATTATGGCCCTAGAGCAATAATTGTATACATTTTCAGCTTCTAGAGGAGATAATTGGGGTCTAACAATGGATAACCTGCATTATTGACTCAGAAATTGACTTAAAATTAAATCAATCTTGAAGCTCCAATATATCCACCAAAAATGGCCTAAAAATTAAATCTTCTATGCTATCATAAACTTGAAACGATTTCCAACCTGATCCGTTCACTGAGTAAAGCTGGTGAACTTGTTGACCAATATAATTTTTTCAGTTGAAAATTTTCGGTATTGAATTTTATTTCATCGTTTTATTATCCACCATATCTAGCCTTAAAATTGAAATCTTTCTTTATTTTCCCCTTTTATCATAGAGGCATATCGATTTGCTACAATTCTATCTTTAAATAATCACCATAAATTAACCACACGTAAAGTTACAGGCCAATCAATGATATATCCACCAAACCCCTCTGAAAAGTATATCCACCATTATTAGCCCTGGTTTAAATGCGTGTATCTCTGCTCATAGACATAGTAGACATTTTATTCTTTTTGTAAAAGTTGAACTATCGCAAATCCTATGCTGAAAAAAAGTTTAATCAAAATATTGAGTTTATCCACCAAATGAGAGCTTCTAGAAGTTGAAATTTTTCCCGTGACAGATTCGTTAACATAGTTTTTGAAAGTGCCCCTATGCTAGAAATTGTGTTGTATAGAAGTGACCTGTAATCTCTATTTTAAATCCTCGTTAGCTGGGAATTGTAAACATTACGTTATGTGTGATTAATTCCTCGCGCAATACCACGATTGACTAATTATCCAATTAGATAATCGTTAATTAACCAATTAACTAATTGGTTGATACTACGAATATCACAGATGATGACTCGTTATTTAACCACGCGCTGGGTACACACGACCTGGACCTGGTCCTACTAGTAGCTCAACACACTCAGAAGGATCCTAAAGAGTACATGCTGTTTCTAAACGAGCTACAGAGTTACGATGATATTTACAGGTGGGTCATTTCGGTTATAACCTGGTCAAAACTAAACTAGAAGGCAAATACATACTCATCAAAATGTGGTGATAAATGGTGAAATTTTACAATTTGAATACTCAATTCACCATAAAATCATTTACAATTTTCACCATTGGAACTTGTACTTTGTCTGTCTGCTGTTTTTAATCGACAATTTTCGGAAAAATACACCATTAAGACTTAAGTTAGCAACAACAACAAAAATGTAACTATGTAGTAACAAAATCGATTTACCTTCGAACATAATCGGACGTATCCTATGCCACAGCAATTTTGGAATACCAAAGCAGCAAAATGAGAGTTTCGCAATGACATTGGATCTAACGAAAACACAAGAATAGAATGGTACTATATATTATTATAGTAACAGACTATTTAATATTTATGGTTATAATCATATTCTTTTTCGATTTTCGCTGGGTCCAATCATTGGTTATTCTAATTTTTATGTTTTATAAAGAATAATAATATAACAGATAGGCTGTAATCACGATAACTGTAACACGAACTGCTGTTCGTGACTTATTTTAACATATTTAACGTATTTTAACTGTCTACAACATTTAAATTTCCAGGAAGTTTAAGATAGACGAACACTTGGGACGGGAGAAGTCCGCTCTGAAGCACCTGATGTGCTGTGAAGGTAAGTTATTCAAAATAAAGACTTTTAACACTATACTTGAAGCTACCATGATGCGGATAAAACAAAGATTTAACGGTTTTTATTCCGTCCGTGTTCAAAAACAATATCTTATAATTCTTATTTCAAAAGTATGAAGTTTACTCTGACTTCAAATTTAGCTCTCATACCAACTAGTAATTCCCCCAATCCAACAATACGTATATTGTCTGCTGATCTTAATTCCCAACAATTCCCAAAACCCTGACCATGGAACTGGTCTTAATTCCTAACAATTACCAAAACCCTTGATTTTCAGGCAGGTTTGAAGAAGTGTGCGTGTTCGTTACCAAGCACTCGCTCCACGCTACAGCCCTACAACACTATCCCTTTGTGTCCGATCAGTACAGGACTGTGGGAAGGAAGTTTGCAGCTCTGATGAAAGAGAACGGTCAGATGGAGGAGGCTGGGGTACTCTTTGGACAGGTGGGATTTTCGGATTATTCCCGGGTTACTTTCTCCAAGCTTCCATTCTTTTATAAATTAGTAAACCCGAATAACCACTACCTAACCCGAATAACCACTACCTAACCCGAATAACCGCTACCTAACCCGAATAACCACTACCTAACCCGAATAACCACTACCTAACCCGAATAACCACTACCTAACCCGAATAACCACTACCTAACCCGAATAACCACTACCTAACCCGAATAACCACTACCTAACCCGAATAACCGCTACCTAACCCGAATAACCACTACCTGGATTAATGTTTTATTTTATAAATGATCATTCTTTCTCATGCAATAAAAGGCTATGCTTAAAAGTTTAAAATATACACAAATATATTTACTGCCATAGATTACTAGATTAGCTGATTGAAAATCATTATTAACTACGATAACTTGTCCATCACCTGTCCATAACTTGTCCATATCTGGTGCAGTGTGCGGAGCTGAAAGAATGTCTGGAATGCCTGCGTCTCACAAAGCAGTCCCACCTGGCCCTCTCAGTTGGGGCCCAGTTGAGTCTGCCCCCTGATCAGATGTCAGGACTTGCTGAGCAACTTGCTGATAATCTGAGGAGAGAGGGCGGCCACAGAGAGGCTGCCAGACTTTACGATAGGTAAGAGGGGTTGACTGGGTTTCGAGGCTAATCTACTTGGGCTAATAATTAATCTGGACCAAATTTATCTAGTTGACCAATAAATGTGGCCTGATTATTCAAGTATACCAAATTTTTATTTCAGCCACAATTGATCGTCCGAAAATTGAATGATTAATCATTAATAATAATAAATAACGTATCAAACTCGATATAACTTGTGGGAAGAATGAAACGAATTAGTCATTACTTGTTATTATACATTATGTGAGTGAACATTCCGTAATCACTAATCAGCCATAAAGCAATTTCGAAACAATAATCATGAGTTAATCACTCGCTTAATAATGAATATTTCTCCATAACGTCTTGAAACCTACGTTGCAGTAGGCATTTAGGCAGCGCTATTAAATCTTGGGCGTTATCGGTCAAGTGCTAATGGCCTGGCCACGTTACGAAACACTAAACAGTATATAATTTCCAAGAGGCAAGAAATGTAACATAAAATATCGAAGCGAAGCAATTGGCGACAGGCATGGTGAATGGTGTATGGTGATTGGTGGTGCATAAAAGTGTCTTTCCAATTCCAAGAAGGCGCTTGTCGGCTTGTGGCCCCAAGCCCCTCTACGAATCAGAGTCTCTGAAAATTAATACGATTAATCACGTGGTAGGCTCCCGCTTTCGTAATAGGTTCACCCAAAATGGCATAAACGTTAACTCGTCCATCCTAGAAATGTATGCTATTTTTTGCTATTTTTGCTATTTTTGCTATTTTTGCTGTAGAAAAATTTAGAATTTATAAAAACCAATTTTTGTCCACTAAAAATAACTCCATAATATCTAAAAATAACTCTCGAAACTCGGCCCAATCATGACAACTCGATCACTTTACTCGTCCATCCTAACAACCACACCTTACAGGTATTGTGATAACGCTGATGAAGCTGTAGAGGTCCTCTGTGAGGGTGGTCTCTACTCTGACGCTCTGGAGGTCTCACAGTCCCGCAAACGGGTGGACCTTATCTCCAACATCATGTCCTCCCTGAAGATGGAGTCGGAACAGAGTTACGACATGCTCGTTGAGAAGAGAGTGTCCGCTGAGAAGTTAGCTGCTAGAATTGTTGTGGTCAGAGAGAAACGTTCCCTGGTAATTCTTTTATTTCTTTTTTAGATTTGAAAGGAGTTTATCTGTTTCAATGATAATCGTAATATTCTCTGATGATTGATTCTTAATAACCTTATTTTTCCTCTACTTCAAATCGTGTTCTACAATCTTGTTGTTTGGTTGACCAACTCCCTAAAATAACGACATTTACCAGGTAGGACAGGGTTCGAGGACATGGACCACAGTGACCTCTACTCCGACACCACCTCCATCACCGCTACCTCCCACACCTCCTCCTCCTCTCGTCGCTCTGCTAAATCTGCTAAAGGAAGAAAGAAGGCTGCGATGAAGAAATACAGTCTGAAAGAGGGAAGTAGGTTCGAATATTTCGCCATCCAGGAGGCGTTCAAGGGCATCATGGCGTTTGTATCTCAACGGGAAACCATGACAAAAGACATGGTAAACATTCTCCTGCTACAAGGCTTACTAGAACCCGCCCAGAAAGTGGTAACAGCATACCGGGAGATAGTTGAGGTGGTAAACAGCAGTGTGAACGTTATCTGGCCACCCCCCACTTCAGATGTTGTGGCAGAGGAGGGAGAGGAGGGTGAGGTGGAGCCTGTTAGTTATCCGCCAGATAAAGTTAAACTTACTGCTGTAGATCTGAGGCAGTTCTCTGGATGTTGACTGTTGAGCGAGGGTTCCTGATGGTGTTTGTGTGGTCAGGGGCATATCCGCATATCCGCATATCCGCATATTGTGACAACTCTTCAATTGACAACATTTGGAGTAACTCAGTGACTTAAAGCTTTTATTTCCTTTAAGGAAACTTGGATAACTTGAACACATCAAAAACGAACGTATGATTTAATAGTTTTTAACAAGTTTTATTTTATCTTTTTATCGTTCCATAGTTTTATTCAGAATCTAGGTATGACGGTATGAAGGTGTGAACTGTGACTCTATTTCTTTTTTTGGAATGTATCCTTTTAAAGGGTTTAAAGATGTATCTGTGTACCACTGGGTGTTTTGTTTTAAATAAAAGCTTTTTATTTAACTTATTACTTATTAGATTTAACTTATTGCTTTGAATTTTATCTAATTCATATACCATTTAATTTGCTTCGAATAAAGTTGAAGTTTTGTCCTTGTTTTTATTTTTGTAGCAGTACAAATAAATGATAAAACTTGGGCAGCACCTAAAATCTATAAATGAGTCTAAAAATAAATTTGCTTAATTTTACTGACTCCAATTCCTTTGTTACACGTAATCGCTCCTTGACACCAATTTGTAGATATCATAATATCATTGCACCCAATAAAATAATTTTAAAGCCTTCAGTACTGAATAAATATCTCTAAAAAGTGAAAACCTCCACAGCAACATGACCATGTAACCCGGACCCGGAGAGAGAGAGAGAGAACCTGGACCCGGATAAGAAGGCAGGCCCACGTTATATCCTGACTAATAACCTGGAATAAGAGTTTGTAGTTTAACGGTGTTATAGTGATGGGAGAGAAGGAGCAGTACGATCTGTTCAACACAGCTGAGACAGCAGCTCTATACTCCAAACATCAACCCCCTCTACATCACCAGGCTATAGATGTTGTACTATCCGCTACACAGGGACGGGAACAACTCCTAGACATTGGTGAGGAGAGTTAGGTTTATATTAAATCTTTGTAAACAAGGTTTGGCCGGCAGTAGTCCCATTACCTTAGTTTTGCTGTACAACTACTACAAATCTTGTGTAGCTTGAAATTTTTTAATTATGTAAGGAGGTCTTATATTTTATAACGACGTCTGTTAATTTAACCGTTTATTTAGATTTACTTATTTAGTCTTTGTCCAATCTCAATCCAATTATATCATTATAATCCAAACATCATTATAATCCAAACAATCTAAACTAGTCTGTTCTAGATCATTCCATTTTCAGGTTGTGGATCAGGGAGTTCCACCCGACCCTTTTGTTGTCACTTCTCTAAAGTAGTAGGGGTAGACTACAGTCCTACACAGATTACCCTCGCTAAAACACTGTCAGCCGAGGTCTCTAATCTACACTTCCATCAGGTGGGGGCGTGTAGAATACTTTGAGAGTTCAGTTTCAGAATTAATATTTGATACGTTATTATTTAAGACTCGGCTTCGTAAATAAAACAATGAATGCTTATCGAGGCCTGTTTAAAGCTAATTTGCTGTTTTATTCTCAATCGAAGGTTTTCTTTTCGTCGTATTTACTTATAATAATGAAAGGGGTCTTTCATTATTATTACATATTATATAAGGGGAGAAAGGGTTTGGAAATAATTACGCTCCACACAGTTGATATATTAATATTATGTAAAATGGAGGGAGGGAGTCTAAAATTACGTAAGTAATGTTGAATGATCATTAAGAGGTTGGGGGTCCAACCCCATTCCCATTTCTTTCTCAATTTTTCGTCAAATAGGCATGGGCATTGCTGTTTTTAGGGCTTTGCCCATTGGGCAAAGCCTTAGAATCAGCAAAGCCTTAAAATCAGTCAACATTTGAGTTGTAATGAAAAGGTTATGAGATATAAGTTAATATTAGAAACTATAAATACCCTTTATCAACACATTCCAATATAATAAAATTAAATGTGGCACATATCGATGTTATCTGTAAAATCTGTATCATTCCGACAGGGTTCCATCTATGAACTGCCAGTTCCCAACCGATCAGTCGACTGTATCCTTGGAGTCATGATAGCTCAGTTTATAGACTTACCTCAGTTCTTCGAGGAAGCTAAGCGTGTCTTGAAGCCGGGTGGAGCACTCGTGTTTCACGGCAAGTGCTCTCCTAAAGTCGTTGAAATCGAAAGAGAAACCGAATCTAAATCAGAAAGTGAAACCGCAACCACTGTCAGTGAGTTAAACCAGCGAATCGAGTACATCAAAACACAACTCTTCTCCGGTCTATTCCACGACCGTACCACCTTCAACCCCCACAAATACACAAACATCCCCCCGCTCTACCCTAACCAGGAACCGACCCGGAAAGAGTGGACAACATCCTACTGGTCCACAATCCCCCAACTGGCCGACTACATTCTAACTTGGTCAGCAGCGGGGAAGTACTGTGAGAAACACAGTGTCAGTAGTGGTGAACTGAGGGGGAAGTTGGTGGAGATGTTGGGGGATGTAGGGGTGGTCAGGGTCAGGTGTGAGGCTGGTAGGTTCACTTGGTGCTCTGTTAATTATCAAGATTAATCGGTTAGTTAATTAATTAATTAATCAGATGTTTGGATTATTTGGTGATTGGGAAGCTTTTGTCGTTAGAGGGGACTTCTTCCTCTCTATCAATTTTACGTATCTCTATCGATCAGTTTTTTTATGACATGATATTTTTAGGCAATTTGGTAATCTATCTAAGCACACTTTGGGCACAAAATTGTATTTCTTGGGGCACACTTGGTGCAAAAAGTTACTTGGGGCACACTTGGGGCATATGCAGTTGGGGCACAGTTGAGGCAAAAAATTACCTGAAGCACAGTTTAAGTAAACTAAACACACTTGGGGCACACTTGGGGCAGATACAGTTGGGGACCAGCAGGGGCACACTTGGGGCAAAAATGACTAAGGTAAACAATCTTCTGAGTACTGTAATAATAAGTAACAATGTATGTAACGTAATTTTTAACATAATTAAAATTTACCTAATTCCTGAATACCAATACAACCAATACATTAATAAAATTATACATTCAACTATTCAGGATAATACTCTTCTCATAAGTTTAGGGATTTCGCTATTAAAGGCTCTTCTCACAGATGAGTCCGATCGGGTGACGTTATGACGCTTTCGCCACATGAACTCACAGAGGGCTATCTCTAGGGCTTCAGAGTCTGCACGGGTCCTTCCATGGCCACGGAGCATGAATTTCTTTACGTGAAACCACATCCTTTCACATGTGTTGGTGTGGACGCCAGTTAGGGTCAACGAACTACGGAGCCTCTCGAATGGTTGACCACTAGATGTACAAATCCAGGCCGTGGAAGAGCACTGTAACCTTTCCACTTGTCAGTCAAGATGGTGGTTCCTGGGGCAACGTAGAGCTTTATCAATCGAAGGAGTGTGGTGGTCCCTCCGGTTGTTAGGACATTCCACTAGAAAACACTCGTCTGTAGTCCTACAAAATCCCCCAATTCAAGTATCCATTTACCAACAACTCTTCTTCCTCGGTTGTACTTTCTCTTTCGATTCATCGATCTCGATAATATGGCCGGGTCCACCAATTTTTCTGTGATCTCCGTCCTCCAGAAGTGTGCCCCAGGAAATACAATGTTGTGCCCCAAGTGTGCCTAGCTAGATTACCAAATTGCCGTATAGTCATTGCTGCTTTTTATTTACTTATCATTTGCTTATATTATAATTTACAAGAGGTTATTATAAGTTGTAAGGGTTAGATAGTGGAGCACTAAATTATGTTAGATATTTTGTCTTATTATTTTGGGTCATCGATCAGCAAGTCGAATACCAGTACCACCTGCTTGCCAGGGTCTCAGTCAAGATTCAGCTGTGAGCAGCTCTTGCATTCAAATTTTCAGATAATCATTAATCATAAAACATCGTCGAACCAAGAAAAGAACAATTTCAAGAAAAACCAATATCTTTTCTCAGTAGCATTAAAGAGTCTAGATTAAAATTCATACCATTCTGTCCAAAATGGTCCCTGACAATCATAGTTGTGATGGTCTTCAAGTTCAATGGCGCCGGTTTTAAACAAAAATTGTCGCCAAATGAAGCAGGTTAAATTTCTTTCAAGACCTTTATAAAAACCCATTCCAAATTAGTTTTTGGCAACGACCTTGACGAATGCGAGTCTCCTAGCTTATAATATACAATTATATTAGAGTTAAATGAACATTTCAAAACAACTATAAAAACTATTTACGACTAAATTTTCCCTGGAGACGACCACGGTCGTGATAGTCGTTTTCTGAAAAAAAAATGTTTAATGATTTAAGTTATGAGAAATTCAGGAAGCATCCCTGATCAAACTTAAATGTTTCTTCAACTCCGGTTGTTGTCCAATATCTGAGGTCTGCAATGTCATCACTGTTGGCCTATCATATTCTTTTTAACTCGCTTCGAAACAAAGTTCCTTATTTGCTGACAGAGACAGATTCTTATGAGAGGATTCAATGCAGACAGAAAAATTGACATCCCAAATGCACCGAGCACGGTTATAAAAGGAGCTTGGAACCTATAACATGAGTAGGTCACCCGAATGGCGATCATAACAGCATTTCCGATATTCATGATGAGAACAGCCTGAGAGCTCTTGCGGAGTGTCACAGTTGATTCCTCGTTTCTGGTTAGCCCTTTCTTCTTCATCAGACAGTTAACCGTGAGTAGAGAACTCAGTACTCCTGCTGCTCCCAGCATGCAAGTTATTACAATGAGGATGGTGAATATAAGAACAGCGTCTCCTATAACAGCTGCACACTGTAAATGTAAGAAGAAGTAAGAAGTGCTTTTTCCCGGTATTCCCACGGTCGCTAAATAGTATATCAGCATGACACCTACGATAGAGACAGTGATGATCATCATGACAACTTTACCAGACAGCTTGTAGAAGGGAAATTTAACATTGATGAATCTGCAAATGGAGATGAACGTCGTAAGGATCAGCGAGGAGAACACTATGAACTTAAATATTATAGTTTCTACTTGCTCTGCCACGGTGCTGGTACGAACAAGTGGGTACACTTCTGGGGACAGAAAGCGGTATCCAATCTGTAGTGGTCGGTAGATGTTGGTCAGGAAGTCTGAGATGGCCAACAGCATGAAGAGAACTCTGGTAGTTTTGAGCCTTCCATCTTGGTGATAGTTGAAGAGGAAGGTAAGGGGGTTCAGTACTGTAGAAATCAAGAACGCGAGGATCATTGTGATACCAAGAAAGTAATCACCGGCGAAGTCTGCATCTGATGGTTCATTGCCAAAGTCCTTTAAGTTCGGAATGAATCTTTCCAGTCTTTCAATTGTTTCTTCATCAATCGATATGTTAGCTTTCCTCAGGATCATAATGTAGTTCCCAATATGCGTGACGGTCTAAAAAGTATATTTTGCTTACAGAACAACTTTTTTAGCTGGAATTAACTGAAATAGTCACATCGGCTTTCAAAGTTTAATCACCAACCGCTACCGAATCAAAAATAGGGACTAAGAGTGTTTTTACGGATTACAATCATTATAACTTTTAAAACCAGTCGTTGACATAAAACAGCTGGCACACTCCTTAATTACTGGTTTTTAAAACTTATGTTAGTACTTAGTAGTTATAATATAAAGTTAAATAGTGAAGGAGGAGGACTAATGTTACATAATTAGATGTTACCGTCTTTTTAAAATCTATTTCGGTTATCTATCGCATCGCCAATGTCACCTGGTTGCAGTTAGATTCGAAAAGCGATAATTATGAAACTCGCTAGTTGCTACAACATGACCAAGGTAATCGATCGAAAAAAAACCGCAATTTTTTACAGCGGAATCAATAATTTTATGAGATTGTAATTCAGAATTAAAATGTATCACCCCTCTTTTTCGAGGGTTATACAGTAAGTTACTTTATCTGTGTCCTTTTATATAGAATGTCATTAAGTCGTTGAGAGTAATTCAGGCAGCTAATTATTAATTAGCTAATTATATCGGTTAATGGTTGTCGTGTTTTGAAAAAGAGTATGATTCACCTGTACCTCCCTTCCAATGTCTAGATCTGTAATAGTTACAACGTTCATACTTTACAATTGATTTACATTTCATTCGAAGAGGGCCTGGTTGAGTTTTGTAGATATGAACGAAGTCAGGTTCGGATGTTGACTTTGGGTAATTGGTAATCTGAAAATACAGTTCCTGTAAAGTACTGTATCTGGAGATCTGGAAATGAATTCCAAAAATGCACTTATAAAATCATTTTGCACTATATTTCGGCAATTTGGTAATCTAGCTAGGCACACTTGGGGCACACTTCAGGAATTAGGTTAATTTTAATTAAGTTAAAAATTACGTATACATTGTTACTTATTATTACACGGTACACCAGAAGATTGTTTACCGTAGTCATTCTTGCCCCAAGTGTGCCCCAGCTGGTCCCCAACTGTATTTTCCCCAAGTGTGCCCCAAGTAACTTTTTGCCCCAAGTGTGCACCAACTGAGCCCCAACTGTGCCCCAAGTGTGCCCCAGGAAATACAATTTTGTGCCCCAAGTGTGCCTAACTAGATTACCAAATTGCCTATTTTTAATATTAAATTATTACGTTATTATACTATTTAATTGGGTTTTATAGCTTTATAGAGTGGTTTGTTTTCGACTTTTTTTCAACTATAAACTATATATATACATATTATATGTAACTTACTAATTCAGTGTTTTTATAAGGGCTTTTAAAATTTTACGTTTACAAATACTCAGATAGTTTAAAATACGGTTTATTTTATTCAATTCCAGCTATCATTACTACGGAGCACCTGATTCTCACACCTCTCAACTGTCATATCAAAGTCAGTTACTACCGCCACTCGGCCGCCTTGTCGCCACTCAGCCGCCTTATAACGCCACCACTTACCCTCCACTCACCACCCTGCTGGCCTGGTAATTGTGCACCACTACAGCACCACTACAGCACCACTACAGCACCACTACAGCCTCACTACAGCACCACTACAGCACCACTACAGCACCACTACAGCACCACTACAGCACCACTACAGCACCACTACAGCCTCACTACAGCACCACTACAGCACCACTACAGCACCACTACAGCACCACTACAGCCTCACTACAGCACCACTACAGCACCACTACAGCACCACTACAGCCTCACTACAGCACCACTACAGCACCACTACAGCACCACTACAGCACCACTACAGCACCACTACAGCACCACTACAGCACCACTACAGCACCACTACAGCACCACTACAGCACCACTACAGCCTCACTACAGCACCACTACAGCACCACTACAGCACCACTACAGCACCACTACAGCACCACTACAGCACCACTACAGCACCACTTACTACAGCACCACTACATCACCACTACAGCACCACTACAGCACCACTACAGCACCACTACAGCACCACTTACTACAGCACTCTCCTCTTCTTCTCCTCAGTTAAACTTAGCGCTGTTACTAAACGTGACTCTAACCCCGGGCACCTCTTCTCTTTTCTCAGCAACTGTCAGAACTCCTCCTCTAAGGTTTCCTTCTCTCTTATCAGTGCTTTATACACACTGTTTTAACGTTGACACTCAGAGAACGTGTTATATACTCTGTTAACAGGGGGGTTGACATGGGAACACGCGCGTTTACTCTGTCTTGAGTTTAATTCACCTCGTGACTCTAGTTTACTGGTTATTCTATGGTGGTGTTTTTCTGGCAATCCGCCAGGTTATACCCCCCTTTGTTGTACCCTTGAAATATTACAGACGTCATACTATTATTAAACATCCTTGTTTTGTAGTTGCGTTTACCTTTGTAGCGTGATAACATTACAGGGGAGGTTGAGGTAGAGGGCAGAACGTGTTGTACAGTTTATTATTATATAGAAGTGCAGTGTCAAGTTACGCTCTAGCTGGTAGCAAATCAACACTTAGTTGTAGATTGCATGTTCGTGTATACGTGTACTTGTGACCGGTCCAGGTTTAAGCTTTAATTAATTCTTATTTTATGACGTTTAATTCTCTTTACACGTTTAGTTCTTCTTCTCTGTTCGTTAAGTTCTTATAAATTTAATTTTTCTTTACTCGTTTAGTTCTTATTAAGTTTAGTTCTTCTTCTACTCTTCGTTCCTTCCTTGCTGGTTTGGTTTTTATTCAGAGTAAGTTTTGTTAAGTTGAATACTGCTTGTTAGATTGGGATAGGTGACGTAATCAGTTTATTTTTTTCAGTTTCTGATTTTTAACAACTTGCAAGCTGTGGTAATAAGTAACGGAAATATGCTTAATTCTTGGCTGAGAAAGCTTCTCACATAATTACATATCAACGTCATATTTGAACCACATAATAGTCATTACCTCATTGTTTTAACTCGGACCCTTATAGATTGCCTGAGATATCAAATTACCTCACATGCCTGAAATGGTCCGGCAGTGAAAGTTGCACTGCGAACTAAGCATCAAATAGTGGTGTAATGTCACGTGATATTCATAGCACTGTGATTTTACCCATTGTACCAGAAACGTTATCACATGTGATGATATCATTATGCAGACATAACTCGAAATTTGTGCAAGCATTTTCATCCTCGTAGACTTGTAAAAATGGTGGATTATTTTTGTAGTGTTTGACCTTGCATATTTTGAATTCCTGAAAATATTCCGACGGCGTTGAAAATGATGTCACGTCTTATTGCTCACAGCTTCATGATTGTGATAATTTATTGTTGTTATGTTGGATTTGTTAAGTTGTCACGATTGTAACGTTAAAAGATACGCACTTTATCAGTTCAGACACCAGTCACGCTTTTGATTCGTCATCAGTGAAGTAGTGAATGATTTTATTGTGCTTTTTAAACTGAATGATTAGTTGCTGCATATCATTTTATAGTGTCAATTCTGGAGGACTATTTCTCCATTCTTGTAACGATCTTTTTACCTGCTAGCGTCTAATTGTTTTCTAGTTGCGTTGTTGCTGTTTCCTGCTTTACTTTCCGCGCTCTTTGGAGGAGATTATTTTAACCAGGAATCAGGGCCAAATATTGAGAGAATTAACAACCCTGTCACTTCGTCATTTGTAATAATAATATTTTAACTTAATCTTCGTCGTCGAATATGTAATGATTTCTGTACAAATATAACTCAGAAATAACGTCATTATTTGTTTCCGTACTGTAAAGCTCACTTTTGTTGCCTAAGTTAGAGCTATCGGTGTACTTATACAAACCAGCTGTCATATTATAAATTCTATAAATAATTCAATCGCTGATCCTTTTAAATAACGTCAGTTACCTGATGCTTTTTTTTGTTTGCTGATATTCTAGATATTCCACGTCTTTGTTACATTCCCGGTTATGAACTGCCTAGGAAAACAAATAAAGCGAAATGTTTGTCGCGGGTATTCTGTAATACTATAACAAGACACATGTATCCTAGTAAAATACGCGACTCTCTCCTGCATTTGTAAGGGCCATCTAATGGGCATGTGACGTATCAGTCTTATCTCCGGGTACGGAGTGTATTTCACTGTTTATCCCCCTGTATGTGATAAATCTCATGTATCATGAAAGGCGATACTATAAACACACGTTATTCATTATCATATTATATGCTATGAGGGGTGACCTGTAGTTGTACATCACACAGGAGCACACCAGCAGCTAGCCCGCAGCTACAGATATGTGGAATGTAGGGATGACTCACTTTGTGAGAGAGTATCACATTATTCACATTCCACGAAGAGTTTGCGAACTTGTATCCTGAAAAGAAAGGCATGCGCTGTGAATATCGGCCGTGTGGGCTTTGTTACACGCACGTACGTAGGTTTAAAGAAATTAGTTTCGATCAGTATATTTAGTTCCTAGTTCTTCGATTTGTAGTGACTTGGTATTTCAAGATAGTTTGTGTCCTGCTGTACCTTTTATTTTCTGTGATCTTCCTTTTTCGATAACTGTTATGACAGTTTAATCGTATGTGGAATTCGTTGCAATGTCAAGAATATTTGAGATTCTTGTTGATCTTTATTAGTGTAGTGTGTTTCATGTAAAGTGTAAACTGTATAGCCTTGATATGTGATTGAGCGAGTTACACTGTTGTTTATCCTAGAGTATCCAGTATCAGTGTTATGACGTTTAAACGAACACCATTACCTAATCGTCACTTACCCATCACTGACCCATCACCTAGCCGTCACTTACCCATAACTTACCCATGACTTACCCATAACTTACCCATGACTTACCCATTACACCTCCAGTTAGAATGTGCTAGAATGTCCGGCATGTGAATGGGAGAGCTGTTGTACTGCGGGGACCTGGAGAAATGGTCCAACACGGCACGTGGTAAGACCTGGAGGAAGTTCTTTATCAGACTTACAAACAGGGAGATCAGGTGGCATCTACCAACTGAGGTGAGTTCTGCTTTCTACTCGCTTCCTACTTACTTTCTACTCGCTTCCTACTTGCTTTCTACTCGCTTCCTACTTACTTTCTACTCGCTTCCTACTTACTTTCTACTCGCTTCCTACTTGCTTTCTACTCGCTTTCTACTTACTTTCTACTCGCTTCCTACTTGCTTTCTACTTACTTTCTACTCGCTTCCTACTTGCTTTCTAGTACTGTTGCATTTACACTTCTTTCTTTATTGGATTGAATAATTTGGCTACTAGCCAACAAGCTGCTAATTACTGTGAAATGTACTAACAAAAACAGATTATTAGCCTCTTCTTAATACCCTTGCCACTAATTTAGTTATATAATCTGAGGTATTTTCGGATCTTTCTAATTTGTACGGGTGTTTAGGTCCAATTTAGCATGGACCATTTCCGTTACCTATGTATTATGCTCTGCCAATTGCATCACTTGATTTAATTGAATGTATATATTTAGCATGGTAATCAGACATTTTTAAGGGCTGCATCCCACAGATCTCAACTAGCCCACCAGAGCGACAATTCCCTGATCCCCAATCACTAACTAAAACACCTTATAAGGACACTGCTGTTTTGTACATTAACAGTGTGAACATTTCGCATATTTCAGGCGGATCAGAATGTGTTTCTTGGAGAGATTGAAGTATCTCGAATAGTTAACGTGAGTACTTTTACCGTTTCTTTTCCTCACTTGCATTCCAACCCCTTTTTACTTCATAGTTTTGTTATCTTATTTTATATGTGAGTAGATACATTTCGTACATTTTGCTCATTAAAGAATCTTCTGATTATATAAAAAATGTGGCAGTGGTGGTCGAATGGCGACACAGAACATAACGCTGCAGGTAAAAATACTAGTCTGATTTGTCACACGTATTTTCGGAAAAAAGGAATTCTTTAAAGTGAACGGTTCCGTGTTGGCCGTGTTTATTGGGATTCAAGAGAAGCGATAGGATACGAGAGTCTGTGCCTGTAGGAAATGTTAGAGCAGGAAGTTCTTCAAGAAGCCATACGATTAGTTTTCTGTCTATACGATTACTTGATAGACCCTTGCAATTACGATATATATTATGTATATATAGCATGAAAAGTTATAAATGAGAGGATGTTTATGGTTCGTGATTAAATTCGGGCGAACAATTGCTGTAGGCTTTATCATATATTATGTTTCTGGTATTCTTGATTCGTACGTTGAGTGAGGTACATTATTTGGGGCACTGTAAAAGCTGACATTTTTGTAACGCGCGCAATCAAACCATGTAATGAAAGTTCCCTCGTTATCAAATTTTCAGCATTTGCTGCACGTACGTCCGTATACACTCGCGACTATATATTTAAGCTCCATGATTTCATATGCTGCCATATTCTATCATGCGATAGATCAGCAGGCGCCAGGCTGCATTACATTTCATTGCAAATAACATATGACTCATTACTTATAACGAGCCAGGAAATTTTAGCAGCATCAAGTTTCCTCAACAAATTTCCCTCTCAGTCTCTTACGGAACAATTTCAGGCGAAGATAGACAAGACATCAGCCCTCAACGAGCCTGATCACTGTATGTTTATTGTTCAAGATCCTCAGATTACTCATGAGTTCAGGACTTCTTCTCTTGAACAATCGGAGCACTGGGTACAACATATTAAAAACGCTACCGTAAGTGAAACTTTAAAACCTTGCAATATCCTGTGAACGCTTGCAAAGCTTATTTTAAATTTCCAATGTCTAGATGTTTACTGGAATTTTTAGTTGTTTGACCAAATAAAAGATGTGCTGTTGCTTTAAGAATGTTGACCGAAATTTTATGATAAAATTTTGCGCAGTTACCGAAGACTAGGAGAAAGAAACTACCAGATACCTTGGGACGAGACAGGATTCACTCAGATACCTCCAACCAATCCAACATTTCAGTCAAGTCTACTCAAGACAAGCCAGGTAACTAGATTATATTCCAGATTTCATCCCAGATTATGTTTTTGTAAGATTTGTTTTTGTACAGACTCTGTTTAATAATCATGTCTGGAAAAGTGTGACGCAAAAATATTAAATGCTTATTCAATGCATCCTTAGACATCTATATCGATAGCAAGATTAGGCCAAATATATAACCTCAATAGTATAATTACTTCGGTGGGAGTGTGCACGAAACTGCCAATCGTTTATAAACATCATCATGTCCGGCCCTATTAGTTTCGAAATATTCGAATTATAATGGAAATAGCAGGGCGATCAAGTTATCTATAATGGCATACCTCTGACGTGTCAGCCTAGTACTCAATAACGAATTCCAAGTTAGTCACCCTCCCTTACCAACCATCTTCTCCCTTTAATGTCACGTGCAAACTTGTTAGATCTCTGTTTAAAGAAACTTGTGATGTTGAGACTTCAGTCAACGTGACCTGTGCAGCTCGTTTTAGAATATTGAAATACTGCATTGAGCAGTACCTTTTCAGTATACACATCTCGAGTATACTAAAGGTAATTCTAGTATTCGCATTTCTAGACTTTCTAGCTTGGGGAGTGTATCTCCTGACTCATAAGAGAACTAATTCCAATTTTGTTTATTTTTATTTATTTCAATCCACTTTTTAACTTTTTAACAATCCGTTACAAACTAACAAACCATTTTATTGGGGTTTTTGTTTTTGTTGTTTAAGGATTTTATCTTTTAGTTTAACAATAAACAATATAACCATAACAGGATTTAATGCGGTCAAATTTTGATAAAAATGTAAGGATTATTTTACAGTACATTGCGATAAGATAATATCATTAACTACAATAAAGACAAAAAGATAATATTAATGGAGAATTTCAGAGTTCCATTCCTATTACTTATGGTTTAAACTTTAGCACAACAGCAGAATCTGTAGTAGGCGGTTTTCTCGTTGTTCAAGATATCAACATCCTCAGCTGCGACCTCGTTATGGTTGATATCTTCGTTCCAGCCACCGTCACACTCGTAGTTGTAGAAGTATCCTACATTCTGAGTGTAGGATGTTGCCTTTCCAGTGAAGCCAGAAATTGAAACCTCGGCCTTGCAGGCGGTTCTGTCGGTTAGCTTGCATTGCATTGGTCGGAACATTTCGCTCCGTTTCGTTTGGGGATAACAGAGTTTTTCCAGGGACCTTTTCCTCCTAGAGGGGCGCTTCCTCGGCAGGCAGCAGCACCCGCCATATGGAGAGCTTGCCAGGCAAGGTCGATATCCTTCTGTGCTTGTTCTGCTTTCATGCTGTTAAGCATTCCAGCTACCTTTGCGAAACTGTCCTGCAATGTTGCAATCTCTCCTTTGAGGGCTTTAAGCTCGTCACCTCCCATGGTCAAGGAGACCAGTGATAAGAAAAAAGCAGCTGTGAGCATCCTGATGTTCAAGAAACGAATTAAGATGAATTAATAAATTGAGGAGAAGAGATTGTCTTCTTTATAATCAGTGCGTAGGAATAGGAACCGACCGGATATCCGGCTGAATCCGGATCCAGGCGGATATCCTGCTTCAATATTTGGTTCCGGCTCCGGTTTCAAAAAATTTTGCCGGATTTTTGCCGAATATTTCTTTTTTAAATGTATTTATAAAATCTTGAAATGCATATTTTTCGTCACATTTTAACTCGAATCCCTAAAAAATCAAAAAAATCTTAACTAGGTGCGGACTTCCACGTTCAGGGAAAAGATCATGTTGATCCAAACGACAACATGATTCTAATAATAAATAAAAGGACTATTACCGATTTACTGCACCAAATTATGGACTAGGACTAAGTCAAGCTATCAAGGAGTATATTATTCACTTCAGATCATGGCATCAAAATATTTAATGTATCTAAAAATGAAATGGACCAAAATGAGCGCAGTAAAATGTGAATCACTATCATCGTATAATATAATATTTATATACAACTAAGTAATGCCCTAGAACGAATTATAACACCCGGCATTGCTGTATTCAAAAGTTGGAACTTTTGATCTGATTTTTCGTTATTAAATCAGAACTTTAATAAGAAGTAGCCTCAAGTTATTCCTATCTCATTGGTGATAATTGGCAGGGGTGTAGGAATGATTTTCTTCATGAGGGAGCCAAAATCTTAGAGTTTTTCAAATCTAGCACACGCTTTGGCCACAGCCTGAATTTCAAAAACAGAAAAACGTGTAAAAGGCCTAGCTGAGCAATTTGGCAATAGAGATCATTTTCAAACACAGTTTCAAGAACGATTAAAATAATACGATTTTAAATGCATATTAGGGCCTGCAAGCAGTTCTTCGAAATAAGTATAGTTCGAAAAGGGGATGCATATTGCTACCGGACAACTGAACCCAATTTGGACTTTTCCTAGACAGGGTAGCTTGGGAAAATAATTGTAAACCCAATCAGTCTACCTAATTAACTTTGAAACGACAACTGGGTTCAGTTGTCGTTTTGGGATTTAAGCTGACTGGTCACCCAATTAAGCTGATCGGGTGCCTGTTAACTGCGTGGGAACTAGGTTCAATTGGGTTCAGTTGTCGGCCACCCATTGCATTCTCTCGAAAAAAAATTCAGGAAATTAGCTTCCAGAATTGAAAACTAGCAATGTGAAATGATAAATCCAGAAAGATTTTGTTGTGCCAATTTAATTAAGGGGGGGGGGGGCCAATGGATATTTTTTGTGAAACTTGATTTCGAGATAGCAGTTGACCAACAAACTAGGACCAGTGACCGAACTTTTGAGGGGGTCCCGGACCCTAACCGCCAAACGGTGCCTGCGGGGCAGCCACGCCCATATTTGGTCCAAATTAGGCCCAATTTAGCCAAATACCCTGAACATGCCCAAAACCCAAATTTCAGGTGCTCTACTTGTAGCTAGTGGTCTCCTGAACTCGTATATGAAATTTCATCAAGATTGGACAAAAAATGACTGAGTTATGAGCCAAAAACCATATGCCCATATTTGGGCATACGCACCAAATTTGGTAGATTTCGTCCCATAAATTGGTCAAATATCAATATTTTTCACTGAAACTTACTTTATATGAAAGGTAAGCCTAAACTACATATTCTCTGTAAGTTATAGCTTTATATCTGTTTAAATGTGGATACTAAGGCGAAAAGACCACAAAAAATGAACTAAATTGCCCATATCTTGGTTCGCGATATTCGCGGAATTGATCTCATTAAAATTGTAACAACTCGATCAGTTTTCAAAATTTTTCCATGAAATTTTCGGAATCGACTCGAAATCGCATTTCCACCTTAGTTTGAGAACAGATTTTTGATTAAGGCCTCAAAAAAAATTTGGCGGCCAAATTCTGAATTTCTCCGGGAAAATTTTGGAATTTGGCCGCCAAATTTTTTTGGAGGCCTAAATCAAAAATCTGTTCTCAAACTAAGGTGGAAATGCGATTCCGAAAATTTCATGGAAAAATTTTGAAAACTGATCGAGTTGTTACAATTTTAATGAGATCAATTCCGCGAATATCGCGAACCAAGATATGGGCAATTTAGTCCATTTTTTGTGGTCTTTTCGCCTTAGTATGCACATTTAAACAGATATAAAGCTATAACTTACAGAGAATATGTAGTTTAGGCTTACCTTTCATATAAAGTAAGTTTCAGTGAAAAATATTGATATTTGACCAATTTATGGGACGAAATCTACCAAATTTGGTGCGTATGCCCAAATATGGGCATATGGTTTTTGGCTCATAACTCAGTCATTTTTTGTCCAATCTTGATGAAATTTCATATACGACTTCAAGAGACCACTAGCTACAAGTAGAGCACCTAAAATTTGGGTTTTGGGCATGTTCAGAGTATTTGGCTAAATTGGGCCTAATTTGGACCAAATATGGGCGTGGCTGCCCTGCGGGCACCGTTTGGCGGTTGGGGTCCGGGACCCCCTCAAAAGTTCGGTCACTGGTCTTAGTTTGTTGGTCAACTGCTATCTCGAAATCAAGTTTCACAAAAAAATATCCATTGGCCCCCCCCCCCCCCTTAAGGGTCAAAGGAAAAGTCCTGCAAATTTTGAAAAATATTCTTACAGTAATTGGTCTCACTCTCAAAGAGCGTACAACATGCAAGGGACAAACTGGAACAATTCTTGGAAAATTTGTTTTAAGGAATGAATTCTAGCAATGAGGTAATGTAAATTTGGACTACAAGGGGCAAACTGTCTCCTGCTAATGGACTCCCACGGCATAAAAGAGTTGTCAGCAATGTTATCTGAATTTTATAATCGCTAGGTTCCTGAACTTCTGATGAATACTGACATGTAATATCGGATAATTGGGGAATCTTTGATAAACCATCGGATTATAACGAGTTTTTCTAAATTTCATCAGATTTTATATAATAACGGTAAAAATATAATTATCTTATCTCCATAATGCAGCCCTGGTGGTTGATAAGGCTGTTTTTTTAATTATTACAGCTGCTCCACTTAGGTTAATAATTCGCATAATGTTTAGGAGATTCCCTTCTTCACTTACTTTCTGGGCTGTAAATAAACCTTCTAGAAGTGGAACAACCTTTCTGGGCTGTAAATGGCAGTTCCTAGAAGTGGAACTGCCACCATATATGCCACCACTGCACTGCACATTAATAAATATCTCAATTGGGATCTATAAATTAGAAAATTAGGCTGTTTACTTTTGGAACTCCTCTTTAATTACATGATTTAATGTATAATATATAATTTGCCCATAAATTCTGAACTGATAAATAAGAGCATAATCTTGTTATTTCCTCGCTTGAATGACTTAAATGTATATCATCTTTGTTGGGTATATTTTAATGTCGAATCGTGTACTAAATATAAGAATTTAATATATAAATATATTATTTATTTATTCACAACTTAACGTTCAGACAAGGTGTGAATACACCTCTCTAAATACTAAAACTAGTCCGCCCGACTAACACGTGTCTACACTCAAAACCATCCATAGTGGTAGGAATAACA